AGTGTTCTTGTGGGCCCAATCTGCCATGGCCTTGGCCTGAGGGCATCTGCCTCAAGCATCCCCTTGAAACCCTAAACCCCTACAAGTTCCAAACCCCCTGAAGCGCCCAAGCGCCCCACAAAGACCGAAACCCGAACCCCCTAACTACGGTACCTTCCCCCTCCCTCTTCCGCGGAAAAAAACCTGCAGCCCAGGATCGACAAAGTGTGCCCCGTGCTCTTGAACCGGTCCCTCTCCGTGGATCCGGCCCTGGCAAAGCCCATGGAGCCGAAAGGGATGACAATGAAGGCCTTCTGGAGAAGGTTGTGAAGAAAAAGAGTTAGGGAGCAAGGGAGCAAAGGAGCAAGGGAGCAAGGGAGCAAGGGAGCAAGGGAGCAAGGGAAAATGGGAAAATGGGAGGATGGGAGGATGGGAGGATGGGAGGCAGGGGAGGGAGGGGAGGGAGGGGAGGGAGGGGAGGGAGGGGGAGGGAAGGGGGAGGCAAGGAGGATCACGGAAGAGGTCAAAGGGTTTTCATATGGGAAGCTCTGAAATTTTGAGGCGATCCCCCCCCTACATTCTGTGGCGGGCTCTTATCCCTAGACTTCCCGGAAGGACTTCCAAGATGTCATGCTAAACCTTCCGTACAAGACGGTTCCCTTCGACAATGCCAGAGAGTGGCCCTTCTTCTACAACGGCTCCAAGCAGCAGAGGCCTGGTAGGGTTTAGGGTTTAGGGTTTAGGGTTTAGGGTTTAGGGTTTAGGGTTTAGGGTTTAGGGTTTAGGGTTTAGGGTTTAGGGTTTAGGGTTTGGGGTTTAGGGTTTAGGGCTTGGCGCCTGAGTTTTTTTGCTGGGGCGAAACGAATCTTTCGATCAGACTGCTGAGCTCTCCTGCCTTGACGCTCAGGGCGCAGTCAGTGGGATACCTCAGCGTGCCGGCAAATGGTGATGTCAGCAACTGAGAGACAGCTCGACTCTACTACACTTCTCATTTCGATACCGCTGCTACGGCTACGACGGCTACTACCACTCCCAGTGCGACGGCTACTGTTGCTACTGGTGCTGTTTTGCTGCTCCTCTTAATTCTAAGGCTTCTACCCCGCCTACCAATGCGACTACTGTTACTGGTACTGCTGCTGCTATCAGCAGAAACTATTGCCGCTAGTTTTGCATATCCTGCCGCTTCACTGCGCCTACAGTTGTAGCTTCGCTTGGGGTCCATGTGTTGCGAGCGTCTTGAGTTTCAGAACGGACTTGTCAACATGGGCGTATTGATTCTGAGCGAAGAGCTCTGGTCAAGTGTAGGACTTTCCAGACATGAGGCCCCGGCCATGCACATATGTATGTCCATTTTGTGACAACGACGTTAAGGGGCAGCCTCTTGAGATCCCGCTGGAAGAGCCTGGCCCTGAGCCCCTCACAGGCTCGCCCCAGGATGTAGAAGAGCTGAAGTGACCTAAGACCTAAGATGGTTCCGAGGCGTTTTGGGGCGTGACCTGCCCCGCCGGAGCTGTGGTGGTCTCGGAGGCAAAGGGAGACGAAGCTGTGGTTCGGAGTTTAGGTCACCAGCTCCCTCAAGGATCCAAGTGCCCTCAAGCTCCCGCGTTCCCTGCCTTGAGGAGAAGACACTCCCCCATTGCCTGGACATCCATGCTTCGGCTTCGCAGGAGAGGGTTTTGTGCATCTTCCGGTAGCGTGCGCCGGGTGCAGGGCTCTGTCCAAGCAGAAGAGAGAACTTTCAGGTTTGTTTTGAGTCATTGCCGAGGGAACTCTTCGCGTGGTTAAAGGTGTCCGCACATTGTACTTGTGAACCGTTTCGTCTTTGGATCACGAAGCGCCAAGCCGTTGCAACCTAGGAACTCCAGTGCATAAGCGTTTCGTCTTCAGCCCCAAAACCTAAACCCTCAACCCCACACCTTAAGCCTACCCCTGAGCTCAGGAGGTCTTCACCTCCTTTTCAGGGTCAGCCACGTGCCCTTCTGGCAGTGCCATCAGTGGATGGTACAACCTTCCTGGCATCTTCGCGGCTTCGTTTGCAAGTTTCCCTTCTGCTTTTTGCAGCCGTCGAGATCGCTTTTTGGAGAGCAGACGCAAAGGTCTTTTTGGAGCAGATGGGGGTGTACGATCTTCGGGTGTGCCTCACTGGGGTCCTTATTGTAAGGGGATCCTGCTGATTGCGGGGTCTAGTTTAGGGGTCCCCTAAAATCGTCAGCCCTCGTGTGTGAGCTCCGTGAGCAGCTTGAATCTGTGCACGTGCCCAGAGCAGCTTTCAGCAAAGTGCATGAAATCCATGAGGCCCCCCTGCTGAGCGCTCCGATGTTTCCTATTTGTTGAAGCGCTTCTCTGTATCCCCCACTTTTCCCAGCAACTTGGAGGTCGCCGCTCCTAGGTTCGCGGGAGGGTTGTGGAGTCCGAGTCTGACAGTGCCCCCCAAAGGTTTTGAACCCGAAGCCCTAAACCCTAAACCCTAAACCCTAAACCCTAAACCCTAAACCCTAAACCCTAAACCCTAAGCCCTAAGCCCTAAACCCTAAACCCTAAACCCTAACCCTAAATCTGCTCCGGTCGGTTTTTTTGGACAGAAGCCTTGATGGCCTAAGATGCCCCCAAGGCGAGGCTTCGGGATGGGAAGCCTTAGGCTTAGGAAGACGCCCTGCAAATGCAGCGTTAATATTTCTGAGCCAGAAGTTTGACTGGCTATAAACCCTAAACCCTAAACCCTAAACCCTAAACCCTAAACCCTAAACCCTAAACCCTAAACCCCAAACCCTAAACCCTAAACCCTAAACTCTAAACCCTAAACCCTAAACCCTAAAGACAGCGAGTGAAGAATGAGGTGAGGCACAACTCGACTGCCGGAGGCCCTCGCAACTGGTGGCTTGCCAGACCTGGTCTTCTATCCACTGGGCGAGGGAATTTGGGGGGGGGGGGGGGGTGTAGGGTTTAGGGTTTAGGGTTGAGGGTTGAGGGTTGAGGGTTTAGGGTGTAGGGTTTAGGGTTTAGGGGGCGGGGGAAATTGGGGGGGGGGAGGGAGGGTTTTTTTTTTGCATCCCTTTCTCACATCTTTCTTAGGAAGGCTTCGTCAAGTTACTTACAAGAGAGAAGAGCACCTGTAGTTATTGACGTCGGCAAGGTGGAATGTTCAAGGACGTCTACGCCAAACCACTTCCTTGGTGGGTTGGGTTCTGGTGCAAAAGCTTAATGCATTCTTGAACCACAACCGTTTGCTACAAAAGGGGTATGCAGTATGCAGAAAAAACATCCGACACCCGAACTTGCCCTTCAGGAAATTGTGTCTTCTCACCATGTGGTCTCTGTAGCAAGGACTGGCCTTCGGGTCCTGTGTCGGAGGACGGGATTTCTGAGCGCCGCCGATGTGTGGGGATTCATCTGGACTCTGGTCAGTTCTTTTTTGGCTAGTGTTTAGTGGTTTGGCAGCGCTCTGTTTTAACGGATATTTTGTACAGTAGTACTGCAGAGTCAGGCTATATTGGGGCATGAGATCTTCGTCTGGTGATGAAGGTTGGATGATTTCTACCGTTTGGCAAATGCCTGGGTCGACATCCGCGTAAACGGCATCTTTCCGACGCAGCTTGCATTTTCCTATCCAAGGTAGCCTCATTCTTCAGCTCTGCACATGGAGATTGTACAGGTTTGTGTAGCTTGTCAGGAGCCGTTTCGACAAGCTCCCTCTACTATCTAAACCTTCATCCCAAAAGCTCCCTGCCACTTCTGAAAAGGACGACCTTGATCGGCTTCTGCGAGCAGCCCTCAAAGCCGCATTGCACTGTGGGTCACGTGGTGAATGCCATCAGCTACAGCGAGAACCAGGCAGAGCCTGACAGCTTACGGCACAATGTACAAATGTGTTGCAAAGCATTGGCCCAACAGAATTCAAGGGTCTCTACCTATGCCTTGGAATCATGCAAAACATCACCCTTCGCTCTGTTTTGTCTCGTGTTGGGGCTTCGAAGCGCTGAACTGCACTTGCTGTGGCAGAAGTTGCCCACGGCACTCTGCAGGGCAAGGCTGAAATAGAATGATGGCGTCCGCTCTCAACTCACATCTTAGGGCCCCAAAAGTGGCCGTTAAGCCTTGCTGCTTTGGCCCGGCCTTGGAAGGTAAGGGTGGTCGACTGAAGTCCAAGTTCCAGCGGACCCGAAACCTTAAACATCCCCAAAGCCCTAAATTCTGAGTGTTAGGAAAGGTCTGAATTTTGTTCCCTGACCCAGCTGTGCGCGGTGAGCTGTCGTGTATGCACGTCTTGTCGTACTGGATGTAATCTCGAAGTGCATATCGAATTATTGTGTGACAAGGGTGACGGCTGGCGTGGTCAGCGAGCTGGGGGTAGGACTGGAAAATCGACATTACAAGAGCATCGGCAAAACTGTGTGGGCAGTGCGGCTGGAAACAAAAACCCTACACCCGAAGCCCTAAACCACCACAAGAGCCGCTCCCCACCTCTGAGTTCAAAGTGGGCTGCTGTCGTTTCCTCCGGCCGATGGGTGCTTCGCTCATGCCCTACGGACGAGCTGCGAACCCGCGGCGTGGCAGCAATTAGCAGCCAACCCCCTAAACCCTAAACCCGAAACCCTAAACACTAAACCCTAAACCCTAAACTGTGAGAGTCGAAACCCTAAACCCGAAACCCTAAACCCTAAACCTGGAGGCCTAGCACGGCTTGCACCCAAGGCCCTACACTATAATTGCTCTGCCATTCCAAAAGTTTTGGTCCTTTCTTTTCGTGGGTTGGAGGGCAGGGCTGGGACCCTATTGCAAAGAGAGCTGTTTTCGGGCATTCCAAAAGAGGATTCGGCAATCTTTGAAGATTCCCCTTTCCCCCCCTCCCCCCATGCTTCAGGGGCGGGGGCCTTTCAGGTTTTGTCACCCAGCGGAAGCCCCCAAGCCGCCGACAAAAGCACGGCGCAACACAAGTAGGCAACTCATCACGGGTAGTCGTGCGGTCTGAGAATTCACCATTGGCTCCACTTGCCTCGGAAAAAGCGCATCATGTCTGGCCTTCGATGCTCAAGCTGTTCGACTGAAGAGCCGGGCCGATGCCTGGTTTGCAGCCGCAGCCCCGTGAGAGACTGTTTTAAGGTATCTTGGCTTCGAAGGCTACTACTGCCCCACGGAAATGGGCTCCACAGGCGACGGCGCGCTCAAAGCAATTCGGATCCAGAACCTTGTTGGGTTGAAGTTCGTCGCAAGGTGTCCAGAAACGTTTAGGGACTTATTGGCTCACAAGGCTCAAGGTTCGGATAGTTCCCCAGCTCTTCCCATATCAACACTTGTCTCGGCTGGGATCGGGTTTCTGAAACATCCGGAGGTTCGAGGCAGGGAGCTTTCCGGGCGTTTGGTATGGATCCTAGGGGGGTATCCGGGCATTGGTCGACAAAAGTGACTTTCCCTTCTGGGCACCCGATGCAGCCAAAGCCAAGCATGCCGCGGACATCTGGGGACCAAAAAGGGCATGGGCACACAAAGGGGCATTCAGTCAACATCCGCCTTTGAAGCTGCTACTCAAGGTTGAGGAGCGGGTCAGGTGACTAAAGTAGGGAAGAGGGGGATAGTCGTGATCAGTACTGGGTAGACCGATCTTCTGCACATCCCCTAAAATGCACCCCCTTCCCTCGCAAAACAACTCGCCGTAAAGGGGCGCCCCTCTACAAGAAGACGGCCATCGGGGTCCTGGGGGCGCCGGGTACCAACTCGGACCTCAACTACACGCTGGTCTGGAACAAGCCGCTTGAGGGCAGCTTTTGAGGGTGCTTCTTTTTTTGGGTAATTTGTGTAGACCCTTGAGCTAAGCTGCAGCTGCTAAGCGAAGCCTTAGTGTCGACATGCGGTGGGAGATGCCTCTTAAGTGCACAGAGCCGCAACGCGAGGTTCACCGGCAACTGGCTCCTCCGTAACGGGAAGCATGCGCTCTACACGATCCACAGCGGCGCCCTCTCGCCGGTGGAGACGCTCGCCGCCAACATCTGCGTGGTGTGATCATGGTAGGAGTGATAGTCGTTGCTGTAGTATCAGTCGAAGTAGCAGTGTAGCAGCAGACTCAGTAGACAGTCGCGGCAGTAGCGGTAGTCGTAGTAGAAGTAGTAGCAGTAGCAGTACTTAGGTCATGATACCACAGTATCAGACAGCACGGTCAACCAAAACTGTGTGTTCTGAATATTTCGCAGCTAAATCCTAGAAGAACATCTTGGTTGCCTTCGGATCTAAGGATCACCGGCGGCCCGATCTCGGCAACGGCCATTCGGCCTCTGGCCTCGGAAAGTCAGCCCAAGGCCGGGAGAGGATGTGAGTTGTTCTCATCCTCCTAGTGCAGCTCGGGCTTCTTTGGCGTCTTTTGGGGTCTTTGTCACAAGTGCATGGCTTTTCGGCGCTCGAGAAGACAGTCGGCAGTCCATGGTGTGGGGGGGGGGAGTTCCTTGGTCCTTGTGTTCTTCAGCCTTTGCGTCAGGTTGCTCGTGGACAGGGCTCCCGGTTTTGAGTTGGGAGTTTGGGGCCATGAGCACAAGTTACCATCTTCAGGACCCTAAACCAATGCCGCCGCAGCTTCATTTTGGGGCTTCGCCTTAACTGAAGTTAACGATAGAAGGATACCATCTCGAGGGACGAGCCAGTTAATGCTCCACTGTTCTACCATCCTTTTGGCCATGCTTTCTGTTGCTCTGCTGTCGTGATGGCAGCTGTTGCGGCTGCTTTTGCTGACATTCTTGTATGGCACTTCACGGATTATTAAGCTAAAGCTCTACCCTCGGCTGCTCCGGAGAGCACCGTGCCGTATCAAAGTCAAAACGCCTCCTGCGCCCGCGCTCCCTCTTTTTCCAACATCCCCCAAAGGGGAAGCCGTCCCTTTGTGAGGTCAAGAGCCCTTTCCCCTCGAAGAAGCCGACGTACCCAAAGCTCCTGGAGTTCCGGGCCGTGCAGCCCAACTACGCGGCGTACTGCAGTCCAGAGCGCCTCCTTCCGCAAGTAAAGCCTTGGTGGTTCAGGGACATTTGTTTCTTGGAGTTTGGGGTAGCAAGCGACCTGTTCGTATTGTCATGTTCATGCACGCAGGGCGATGGTAAGATCGTTGGTCAACCATCACAGGCAGCGGCAGAGAAGGGGAACATCCCAAGAAGTACCGGAAGAATACTTGAGAAGCGTGAGCTGTAGACTCCTTCACTTCCGGAAGCAGAAGAGAAGTGGGCGAGTGCAAGTGCGCAAGGCTTTAAGTGAGGAAAGCACGTGATAGCAGCATTTTGAGACAATCTGCGCCCCAAGCACCTAGTGTTCTATGAGATTCGAAGACTCGAAGAGGACGAACGTTTGGGGTTCTGGCATTTGAGTAGTACACCGCGGGTTTCGGCTTGTGGGTTGGGCTCGGAGTTCACAAGGATGCTTAGATTTTTGATGGCCATCGTTTTCCCAGGTTTACGGCTGCATACTTACGATTTTTGCTTTCCGGCTTCAGCGATGCGCCAGGATTTTCTTCGCTGCTTCGTGGGGAGTGGTTGTAGAGCCCTTGCGGGTGCGAGATACCCACATCTTGAATGCAGGGCAATGACAGCAAAATTCAACCCATGGGATGCGTATGAGAACTAGCGAGACAGCCACAGGATATTGCATGCTCCATGGCATTTCAATGCATGTAAGATTCAGCCGGAGGTATTGGACCTTAAGTAGATAAACATCGCGCAACTTCGAAGCACAACAGTCTAATCTTTAAAGCCTACTGCATAGTCTGTAGTATTGCAACGTCGGGTGCTCCCTGGAGGTCTTCTGGTGCAAACTAGGGGAGTTTTTCCAGCCCTCTCCAACTGAGGGCTTCGATGTGTGTGTGTGTGTGTGTGTGGCTGCTTCTGTTGAAACAAGGTGCCGGATACAAGAAACAACAACTTGCCGAAAGCCGAATTGTCAATTCTCCCCTCCGAAGTTGGTTTCCATATCCGCCGCCGCACCGACAAGACCTGTACAATCTCATAAGTCCCAGCCCCGCAACGTGTTCGTCGAAGCCAGGACTTCACAACCCCAATTTGCTTTTTCCCGTTGCCTTCGTCGCTGCCCCCAGGTTTCTGGAGAGCCCCGCCAGCTTCAGTGGCCAGATCGCGGAAACGAACCCCTGCTACCACACCTTCAATGCCAAGATGGTGCAGGCCCCTGTGCGTCCGGGGACCCTTAAACCTCAGTTCGCGTGGTGCCAAGTCCCCGAGCATCCGAGAGTTGAGAGGACGCGGATGGCGGCTAGGTGATGCAGGCCTTCTGCTGCGGAGTACGATTTCTGTCGTGTATGTTCGTAGCCCTTTAAAGAAGTATTGCAGGAACAGTATTCCATAGGACCACAACAAGGCTTAATTCGTGTAAGAACTGCTCAAGTTCCCATGATTATCATTCGTCGCCTTGATTTTCAGGAAGCTCTCCGGAGCCCTCCCCCCTAAACCCTAAACCCAGATTTCAAAAAACTTCGTCACTCGGAAGCCCCCCTGCTGCACAACCCTGAGCCCCACCTGACAAAAAGCCCTAAGAAAAGCGTCGAGGCCCCCCCCCCCCCCCAAGAAAACCCGCGGAATGCCGATGTTGCGCAGGGAATCGCGGCAACGAAGGGGATCAGCGAGGGCGCGTTTTGGGCTTGCAGCCAACGCTCCAAGGCCTCCTGGCCCCCCCCACAGCAAAAGAAAACGTGGGCAAGAGTTTAGGGTTTAGGGTTTAGGGTTTAGGGTTTAGGGTTTAGGGTTTAGGGTAAGAGTCTCTGAAAAATGCCTGTCAGGCTTTGCAGGCTTTGCAGTAGCGTTTTAGAGCGCTGGGGGTTCTGGGGTGTGAGGGTTTTGTGATTTCTTGTGGTTTCTTGAGGTGGCTTGGGAGGGTTTTGCCGGCTAGGGTGGCACGGCTGTGCAGGAGGCTTCAGGCAACACCAGAGCCCAAACTAGACTTTGGCCTGTGCATCTTCACTTCAAAGTCCTGAGAGACAGTTTCAGGCTGCAGCGGCTCTACTGTGATTTTTGAGACTGCTGCGCCGTTTAACCAAGATTTGGAAGCTGTGTGGAGCCAGAACAGCGTCCATGTGTCCCTGATCTGAAGGGTCCTCAATCTTTGGACCACGCTAAGGGGATGCCCCTACCGTCAGAAACTTCCATGGGTGATGTGGGACTTGTTGGAGCACAGGTTCCATCAACAGTGTGTTTTTGCAATTGCTTATGGCACAATTGAATCGTCGTACAAGAGCACGTGGCAGACTGGCATCATACTAAACTACGTTCGGCAGTCTATGCTAGCACAACAAACTTCACCATGCACTGCACATTCAGACGACGGACGGTGTACCACGGTGTGCAGGCGCGGAATTACATGCAGAGCATGGCCCAGTACTCGGAGGATGAGGCGCAATCTTCACGAAAGTCAATCCTTGATCTGCCAAGCCCATCTTTGCTGCACTAGCGTGTAGTATACTTTCTAGAGTATATGGCGTACAGCAGCATATGGCATAGTGGAGAGTTCATCCATCTTCTGCTGTGGTCTACTATAGTCTCGAGTCCAAGATCTTCTGCTAGATTACAATGTGCTATATGCTTGCTGTATGCTTGCTGTTGCTTGCTGTTGCTTGCTGTTGCTTGCTGTTGTTTGCTGTTGTTTGTTGTTGCTTGTTGTTGTTTGTTGTTGTTTGTTGTTGTTTGTTGTTGTTTGGTGTTGTTGGTTGTTGTTTGTTGTTGTTTGTTGTTGTTTGTTGTTGTTTGTTGTTGTTTGTTGTTGTTTGTTGTTGTTTGTTGTTGTTTGTTGTTGGTTGTTGTTGGTTGTTGTTGGTTGTTGTTTGTTGTTGTTGTTGTTGTTGTTGTTGTTGTTGTTGTTGTTGTTGTTGTTGTTGTTGTTGTTGTTGTTGTTGTTGTTGTTGTTGTTGTTGTTGTGTGTGTGTTGTTGTGTGTGTGTGTGCGTTGTTGTGTGTGTTGTTGTGTGTGTTGATGTGTGTGTGTGTGTTGTTGTGTGTGTGTGTGTTGTTGTGTGTGTGTTGTTGTTGTTGTTGTTGTTGTTGTTGTTG